ACTGGACGTCGCTACATATGCGCATGGGACATGAACATAACCGACGACTCTCCGTTGGTGCCAGTGAGCCAGCTCGGGGTTGTAGTGGCGACGACGGGGCATGGGTTGTGGAGCAGTGGAGGAAGCCCAGGGGGCACGATCCACCACGGAAGCTGAGGATACGAGGGTCCTGTCATTGCTGTCGTTGACCCCGATGGGCCGCTCGATGACATATCTACGAATACGTTATTGGGGTGTTCATCGCGAACAACGTCGCGATGATGGGTCTTGTCGGCCTTGTTGCTTCGTATCATGGCGACAATCCAGGCATCGAATTCCACAGGATCAGTGGGTGGAGGTTGGCGTGGGGGCTGTTCGCGCTTGTATAGCCGCTCTGGATGATGGTATGTGTGATCAGCCCTCTCCTGGAGAAAGAGAGAGACAATCCAGGCATCGAAAGCGGTGGGGTCGGTGGGTGGAGCCCGGTGTGAGGGCTGTTCGCGCTCATGTAGCCGCTCTGGGTGCTGGTATGTTTCATCCACCCTCTCCCGGAGAAAGAGAGAGACGATCCAGTCGTCAAATGCGGCGGGGTCAGTGGGAGGCATGTTTCGAGGAGCCTTATGGGGAGCCTTGGATGTTTGTGGCATGGCAGCATAGTTCGCCTGCTGAGAATGAGTTGATCTTTACTTTATTTAACATCTCCCCAATGTGCTCACCAGACTTCTTTCAATGTAGCCAAGGTCTAAATTTCCCATGGGCATTACTGGAATACCGGTTGTCCTATGCATGGATTCAATCGCTCCTGCAATCCCTATAGTGTCGATCTGCAAGCCAGTGAGGTGTGGCTATCAGCATCGCCAGTGAAATCGCACTCACAAGGGAGTAAATTCTCTCAGAGAGGAGCGTCTCATCCTCTTGAGTATGAAGCGAGTTCATGTCCATGTTGGAACTTTGGAAGTGAGAGTTCAACTTGTGTGGCCGTAGCTGATGACAAATTGGGAACCCTGAACGCTTCTCTCTTTGTTTTGTTTTCGAACGCCTGGGAAGCAACGCTATCTCGTCTTGCATATAACATCTAGGGTGCGGCATGTAGGCTGAGAATATCGTTCCTGTAGGTCTGGTTTTAATCAATTTATTTTTCCCTGGCCACAATCAAGTGGCAACACACTTTGACTGTGGCTCGTATCGATGTGTTAGCGTCAAGGTACACAGGTGTGTTCTTTGTCATTTCCCATTCGCTTACTGGGTTCCAAGGCAAGGTTTTTAACCCGCAGTGAAGTTGGGATATCGCTTGTAACTTTGAGATGTCAAGTCATGGCAACTCTTTGCGTCTTTCCTTCCTTTCATCGATAACTTCTCCATACCTCATCAGATGCCCAAATTATCCGAGGACGAGCGGTGCCAGCCCATAGGAACACGCCTAGCCTGGGCATTGTAGATGGGAATATTTGAGGCATATTGTAAACTCTTCCCCGTACGCGAGCTTATGCATGCGCGATCTTGGTGCGAAGAATATTCCGCTAGTTCTTATTGAGACTCTGAAAGTGTGCTTATCCCCAGGCACCCTCGCCACTCGAGTGCGCGTTCCTTTTATTCGCATCGCGACTTGCTCGTGAAAGTTGTAGCCGATGATACGTGACTACTTGCCTCACTTTTCGCTCTCACCTTGTGGCAGGTAGAAGGCATGATCCCGATAATTTGGAAAAACCTCAAAGTGCGCGGCGAGGCGTTATTCATCGAAGGCTTCACTTATGGGAGCTCAATACTATGGAACGAGGGAGAAGAAAGGATTCTCTGATTATCTAGACCCATTTTATCACCTCCTTCGAACAGTTGTCCATAGTCCTGATGACTCATTTGAACCAATATCACTGTGAAAGCTGTCTATGGCGCAGCCTTACGTGATATTTCTCATCGGACAGGACATACAGCGTGAACTCACCTCGATGAATTTGAACACAGAGAAACAGGTCTTTCGTAGACTAAGCATCCAGCATCCAGTCCGAGCCGAGAAAACGAAACGTCGGATGGGACGCGATCGAGTGATCATTGACGCTGCAATCAAGTGAAGACGGGTTACCGGACTGGTATCGACTGGAAGGGCGGTGATGACTAAATCGGGATAATCAGCCACTGGACCCAGCCGCTCCATGATTGAGGCCTTGCGCTGGTACCAACGCTAACAGTAACGGTAACATCAGTTCGCTCTCCAAATAAAGCTTGCTATTCAGCAAAGGGTGCTCGCCAAATTCAATTTTGTACATGGGGTCGAAATTTTATTCTCAGGTATCGAAGGGGTACCCACCCAACCACGTGATAGACAATGACGTCAATTTCATGACTAAGCCATATGGCTCTTTCCGGCAGTTTCGTTACAACCTGAACTCGGCAGGCGTCACACACCCAATTCTTGGGCACTGGACTCCTACCCAAACAAGATAGATGGAACTTAATCACAGTCAGTCCCTGTACAAGGAATAATGGGCCAATCACTTACCCATCGTGTCTCCCATCCAGCCTGATTACAGCCTACCACGAGAGTTAATATTTGCTACCAATACTACATAATTTAATATAGATATGTTGTCATTCTATGCTCCAGGCCTTCCAAGGCGAACCAACCACCCTACCTGCTGTGCCGGGCCAACATTCCCGAGCACCCTTGCCGTAAAGTCAAGGTCGGTGCAGCGGGTAAAGCAGTATCTCAATCACATGAGGATGAGCAGTGTGACGCAGAGTGAATACTGGCTGGAACGTGTCAGATACTCCCGGAGAAGTGTCGCTCTGTTTTCCGTGAAAGGATCATCTTCAATGGAGAAAGTCGTCCAGAGACTTGGCGTTGATACAATACTGACCACCAAGCACGACAAACGCAGCTAATGACCCAGTTTGAGCTGTGCTTGACGTCCATGTCATCGTATGATACACAGTGTAAAAGTAGTGCTCTTCGGTGCCCGTTGGAGGCAATGATGTGAGGAGAACGTCCTGAAATGCGATGGACGTGAATGGTTCCTCAAGTCGATATTGTACTAGGTACGTCTAACGAAAGCCAGTCCAAAGCTGCAAGGTTATCTCTGAGGGAGGAGGTATTCTCCAAGAGGTCGGAGATGTCCATCTGAGACGGCGACCTGTTGGTCCCGAGTCGTTTCGTATGAATGGGAATCGTCCTCGGCGTGTCTCAACAATATAGAAACTGCCCTGAGTAGATAATTACCTAGTGGTCCCATTCCAGCCTAGCAGAGAAAGATAAGTAAAAGCGAGTATGAAAAAAAGAATTTGAAAATCGTACTGAGTATGTGCGATACTTGGAAATCGCGGAAAAGTGGGATCAATTCGCAACTTCAGTCATCTCATACACAGATTCCGCCTGATAGACGCATTCGACTGAGCGTGAATAAAAGGCCACAACGAGTGCATATGGTAGACTGTCCAATTCTGTTCCGACCAAAACCAAGACCTGAACAGAGCGTTAAGAGGATGGAGATGGAGATTATTCACGGACGTCGGGAGTAACTGGAAGGCCGTGACTGACGGCAGACCATCGTCCTTCTTTCATCCCTTCCTTCCACCACGACAACAGAACTCGCTGCTGGCGACTCTTACCATCTGTCGAGAGCGACATCAACAACCATTACCTCGTACTCCCGCTATGGATGGAAAAGACTGCAGACTGCTCTTGGAGTCCACCCGATACCTACCGACGAGAAGATATCTTGCTCATGGTCCTAGGAAGCTGTCAACGGTTGGTTCGACACCATTTTCGTTGTTGTGGGTGACATCTTCTGCCTCACCGCTCGCTTTCCCAAACTTTCTCCACTCTGTAGCCAGATGCATTGACTATCACGCTGAACGAACCGGTCAGCGTGGAGGACCGAACCACCCAGAGTATCCAGTGGTTAAGATGAGAAAAGGAGGATGTAGTGTCAGAGACATTACTAATGCTGGTGGTGAGGCGACGGGGGATGGTACGAGTGGTTTGGCATCGTCGTCGTCGACAATGCTGTTACCCTGTATTCCTGCTGCTGATGGAAAAGACCGCAGATTGCTCTTGGAGCGCCTACCCGATACCAAGAAGATATCGTGCTCATAGTCCTAGGAAACTGTCACCTCTCCACTCATCAACGCTATGAATGGCATTTATCCAAATTTACGAGCAAGCATTCATAGTGATACCGGCACGGTGTAGAGAGGAAGAAGCAACTCATAGAAGGAATTGCGCTATCGTGGATGTCAAGCTCGAAGTTGAAGGGGTTGAAGGCGAACACGTCGTGATGGGGCCGTGACAGTTATCTGTCCCGCACCGCCCCGCACCTTCCCGTCTTTCCTTCCTTCTACCATTGGGGTATTCACCGTTGGCAACGGCATCCTCTACCACCTCGCTATTCCTACCGAACTGTTCTTCTCCTGCTCATTGATGATGAACTGTCGACCTCGAGGAAGCCAGCAGCAACAATGTTGTTGAGCCTAGTACTCTGTCAATCGTACCTTCAGCTCTTCTTGGTCTTAAAAGTGAGTTTGGAATTCTGTTCTCATTCTGAAAAGAAATAAAACAGAACTTTGCAGATATGCCTTGCACACTTCCCGTGGTCGACTACGATATATACGCGTGAGCCACAAGTATGAAGGACGACCATCCACTAAGCCATCTGGGTACCATGACGAGGACTTCGGAAATGGGAGCGTAGAGTACTGGTAGAGGCGCATACCATGGGAGGTTGTGCTAAGGGTACGAATGGCCTATCATCGCTGTCGCCGACTGCGATGGGCCAGCCGATGGCGTATCTACGAATGCGTTATTGGTGGGTTCATCGCGAACGACGCCGCGATGGAGGGTCTTGTCGGCCTTCGACACAAGGGAGTCGAACCAGCAGTCAAACCTGGCGGGATCTTTGGGTATGTCCACGCGTGGAAGCGCCACTGGATTCCAGTAATGCTCTGCGCCATCGACCCTCTTCCGCTCCAGGAGATATGTTATCCAAGCCTCGAACTCTCCGGGGACACCATGGCATGGGACATGTTCGTGCCTGTACGGCCGACACTCTGGTTGTTGGTGGATTTACCCGGTGGGATCTTTGCTCCGGAGTCCATGTCGCTGCTAGTGGGCCTCTGCGTTACCGGCCTTCTCCTCTTCCAGACCAAAGGGATCGAACCGGACGGGATCACTGCGGCAAGGGGTGTTCTCGTATAACTTCTCCGAATGCTGACTCGGATGTGAGGCCATCCATGCCATGAAACTGTCGGGAGTGTCGTGAATCGGATCAGCAACACCATTCGGATGCGAGAGGGACTGCGACTGGTCGAAGATGTTATGAAAAGATGTCGCGTAGAGTGGCTCATACACAGCGTAGTTCGCCTGCTCTTTTTGAGTCCCACATTCCTTTCAACGATGAAATGATGTGCTCACCGAGGGTCTTCCCATGTAGTCGAGTTCCATATCTTCTACTGGCGTGCCTTGGAGTCTGGTGAACCTCGAAAGCAAGATATCAAGTTGAGTGACGACGGTAGATGACAAATAACCAGCCCTGAACACCTCCCTCTTTGTTTTGTTTTCGGACAGTTGGAAAACAAGGTACGGCTATCTCCTCCTACAATTAGCATCCCGCTTTTAGATCGAGCGTATTTGGTTTTTAAAACCGGACAGATTGAGGTCTTAATGCTCGCCCGAAGCTTTCTACGCTCTGTGGACAGATATTACGCAGCCCGAACGAACGAGCCTATCAACTTGAGGACCGAACCGGATATCCGGCATCCAAGGCAAGAGATGGAGGCTGCATTGGATGGGTTGTTGGGTATTCCTCGTGCTGGTGGTGAGGTGGCGGCGGAGGGTACAAGTGGTTTGGCATCATTGTTATCCACCCCGATGGGCTGACTGATGCTGTATTGTTGTATATGGTGTTGGATGGTTCATCGCGACTGACGTGATGATGCTGGGTCATGTCGTCCTTCTTGCTGCACACGAAGTCCTCCCAGTCATTGGGCTCAGCGAGTGGATCGTGGTTGACAACGCACCAGAACAGCTCCCGCTCCTCCGCCGCCTGCTTGTTGTCGTAGCGTTGCTTGCCGAGGAGCGTCAGCAAGAACCACCTGTCCCACACAAGCATCGAGCGGAGGCGCGTCGTCCAGGGCTTCGCGGGGAATATAGGGCCTATCATTTAAGATCAACAGCATACGTTGATGCGAATCGAATGGGTGCATAAGTGGCGCGCGGCTCGGTACACCATCAATATTGCTCCTCCAGGCCGTAACTTGTTCGGTGACCTTCATGTAATTGCTCTACCACCAATTGAGTTCCCTAGTTTCTGTACCAGTACGATGCACTCACCAAAATTTCACCCTCGCAGGTAAGCAGCATGACACTCGTCTCACTCAGAGGAGTTGCCAAAGCCCTATCCCTCAAACCTATAACATTCCTGAAACCCAAAACCTCGATCTGCAAGGTGGCGATCAGTGGCGACTGCTTGATATATGTGATCGTACTCACAAGGGTATAGGTCCAATCTCGGACCTCCGACACTGATACCTCCCAGTCCTCCATGTCAAGGGGTGAGTTCATTGGAAACTGACAGGTTGGTGTGGTCGTTGTACTAATTTCAAATGACCAGCCCTGAAGACGAGCCTTTGTTTTCTTCTCAGACGTCTGGCAAACCACGGCCAAGGTGGGTCCTACTTCATTCGAGGTTAATTCTCAGGCTGAGATTTATCTCTTAGGTTGTATACCACTACCTGGCACATGTATGACAAGATTTCCCTGTCCTCAAGTTATCTCCTCGACTGGCTCGCCACATGTGTGTATCTAACACAGAAAGGACCGTCCTCTTTTCTCTTTCGCTAAGAGTTGCTTGTGGTTTTCTCTTTTGTTCGCATTCGCACCTGCCTACCAGCTGGTCAAATGAAGCTCCGGGAAGGACCTAGCGTGAAATCCTGTGGCGCAGCATCAACCTCGCTTCACACGTACGCCGCAAAGGGTCAAGGTCCGTATTCAATTTGTTTTCGTGCTTTCGATAAGCATCTGAACGGTACACTGCAGAAATTCCCGGTTTTCATTTGTGCAGAAACAAGTGTTCTCCCGAAGGCAGTGGTCAATGTCGTACCAGAGAACGCTCGTAGGAAGAGGCGTAAGCTCAAAACCTCATACGAGGACTTCTTCAGGAGCTAGTCTACAAAGATATTTTTTCTTCTCTCAATATTAATGGGGCCCGCTTTTTTCAGCTAGCAGTGGCTGACAGAGGGAACTACATACCCGTGCGTCTTCCAGTCTTTTCTTGCTGTTGAGAGCAGGTTGCGTAGCGCAGCGGGGAATGCCAGGTCTGGAGTCGAAAGTCAAAAGCTAGTAGACGTTGACTTTCGATCTCCAGTATTGGTAGCTACGATTATGTAAGGTAAGAGCGACATGGAGGGTGTGCTACTTCAACACTCCCCCTCGACCGAACATGTCTACGGAGGTATTGAGACAAGTCCGAGTAAGGTAATCATGTGTCTGAGCTTCTCTCTTCCTAATCCCTTTGTCAAGGCATCGGCTGGCATATTTTCGGTTTGTAAGTGGACCACATGGATGCGCCCCTTTTCAACTTCATCGCGCAGCCAATAGAATCGAAGGTCAAGGTGTTTAACCCGGCCATGATGTTCAGGGTTTCAGGCAACTGACAAAGCAGACTCGTCGATATAGAGGACTGAGGCATTGGTGAGTGAATAGCCAAACTCTGTGAACAAGTTGCGAAGCCAAAGGATTTCCTGACCAGCAGACACAGCTGAAACGTATTCTGCCTCTGTTGTTGAGAGCGTCACAAATGCCTGAAGACGACTCATCCAGCTAATGGCTCCAGTACCCATTTTGACAATGAAGCCACTTGTAGAACGCCCACTATCTTTGTCGCCCCCATGGTCTGCATCACAATAAGTCTTAAAGTCAAAGACTGATGAATCTGACTCAGAGTCAGGAGAGTAGACAATACGATAGTCGACTGTGCCCTTCAGATAGCGTAATAGCCGTTTGAGAGCTTCCCAGTGGGCTGTGCCGGGGTTTTTGCTGAATCGTGAGAGTACGCTCACGGGGTAGGCGACATCGGGCCTGGTAGCAATAGCGAGGTAGGCCACAGAGCCGAGCACATTCAGGTATGGGATTGTCCGCATTGTCTCATATTCCTCTGGTGTTTTGGGAGACTGATCTGCTGTAAGTTTTATGTTTGGATCCAAAGGTGTCAGAACAGGATTGCAGTCAGCCATTCCTGCACGTTGCAGAATATCTAGGATGTATTGGCGCTGGGAGAGAGTGTGTGTTCGGTTGGCTCGGTCACGCTTGATCTCGACACCAAGGAGGTAAGATGTTGGACCCAAGTCTCGAAGCTTAAAGTGCTTCTTGAGATCGTTGATGACCTTTGCAACACCGTCTGGTGTCTTTGTGGCAATAGTCATGTCATCAATGAAGACTGGAATGATGATATGCTCACTGTCCCTCTTGTAAACCCAGACACTATGCTCGCATTTTACCTGTTCAAAACCCATGGCATTGGTCAATGTTGCATGTAGCTTTTTGTGCCATTCTCTCCCAGCTTGCTTTAGTCCGTATAGAGACTTGAAGAGGCGCCAGACCCATTCCTTTCCTTTCTCCTCAAAACCTTCTGGCTGCTCCATATACACCTCTTCTGTCAGCTCATCGTTGAGAAATGCTGATGAGATGTCGACACTCCATAGCTCTAAATCCTTGAGGGCACCAAGTGCTAGGACAGCTCATAGAGCAGCCCATTTTGGCGTTGGAGAGAAGGTTTTGGTGTAATCAAAGCCAGGTTGTTGTGAGTATCCTTTTGCAACAAGCCTTGCTTTATAGCGCTCAATTGATCCATCAGCATTGCGTTTTACTTTGAATACCTAGCGACTCCCAACTGCCTTTTGATTTGGAGGGCATTTCACTAATTCAAAGATGCCATTCTCAATGAGTGCCTGTATCTCTTGCATAGCGGCTTCATACCAACTTGCAGCTTCCTCTGGAGGACGTTTCATAGCTTCATGGAAGGATTTAGGTTCACCATCATGTGTAGATGCCTTGTAAGCTGCTTCTGTCATGCTCTCAAATGCAACTTCCAGTCCTTCCTTCATTGTCAAATGCTCGATTGTCTGGCTGGAGAAAGCTATGCCTTTGAGAATAGTTTTATCTTCCATAAAGGCTGTATGTGCTTGATCCTCTGCATCTCTTGCATGATCATCATTGTTGACATTTCAGCGCATTCCATGACCATAACCAGGGCCAGGATCATATAAGCCATCATCACATATTCTGTATTCATGTTTGCCTAGGTCTGTTGGAGATGGTGGTGATGGTGATGGAGTTAGGTCTGAGAGAGATCCATCAAATGATGAGCCAGGGGGGATTATAACATCATGAGGAAGGGGTGATACTGGAGGTGATGGGCTTGGAGGAGGTAAGAGATTTGGTGCTGGTGATATGCAGGCTACATGTCCAGCCCTATAATTTGCAAATTCTGCATAACACACTAGAATATGCTAGTAACTGAGAATCATTAGCCAGTAGAGGACTATGGCTGAGGCTCTGAGCTGATAGTCATGCTAGTCACCAATACTAAGTCCAAAAGGGACTTTGTAAAATAACATGGCCTAAGGATAAAAATCCTAAGTCAGGTTTGAACTTAGAAAAGTTCAGCACCACACCTTGGAAAATACTAAGTCCAAGTTGGACTTAGAAATGGTACCTCAAATGGGGCCAATTCTACATGCCACTAAGACAAGTATATTCTAAGACAGCTAGAGGTATAATACCATAGTCAGTTGTGGAGTATTGAGTAGAGATAGCATCATCCAGGAGCAGTAAGAAGTGAGACCCAATGATCTGTGGCTAGCACTATGAGTTTTGACTCAAATGTCTAAGTCAGAATTTCCTAGGTATCAGGTGACCTAAGAGACTTAGAATTGAGAGGAATAGAGTGGATAGGACCAGTTGACCGGGCCTGATCAGGCCTGATCAATCAAGCTACTAAGAATAACTCAGAGGATTAAAACTTTGAGTAGACAGAAAGGAGTTAGGTATCCACAGGCACTGTAGGCTTAAAATAAGGCTGTGCGGTGGCCAGGCGGGTCTGGGCAAGCCTAGGGGAGTCCAGGAGTGCTGCCATTCTGGAATAATGGTGTGATTCCACTTTAAACAGGAGAAATATTATTTTGAGTGCTTTATTTATAGATTCTGTATCTGTTGTTGGTGTATAAAAGAAGGGAATGGGGGGGAAATAGGAAGCAAGCGACCCACCCCCGTGTTCAGGCCTTCTAGCCCACTGTAGCTAGTCCCTGGGACAACGGATTTTGAGTTCTGCTTTGACTTAGTGATTTATTTAAGTTGCTTTGTCACTTAGAGAGAGGATTAGATTGGAATTATAACTATATTTTGGGTTTTGAATTAATTTGGGTTCCAAACTATAAGGGTTTCAGTATCAGAGTACAAGTTCTTCGGTTTTGAGGACTGCTAGACTGCCAAGAGTGCAGCTAGTCAAGCCTAAGTGCTTGATAGACTTAATATTTGGGTTTTGGAGTTCATTGGGTTTTGAAATACTCTAAGTTGGTTTGGAGCACAATTTGGTGTTGATTCTAAGTCCTAATTATACTTAAACATTGCTATAAACTACTCTCATGAGTATTGCATCTTTGAAAGCAAGATAGAGTTAAATAACTGTCTTTATTGACTGTTTCTGTGATTTTACTTAAGACTGCAAGAGTGCTTCTATCGTACTCAAAACAACCAACCTCAACTGTATTTGGTGATTGTGTATTGAGTGGTTAGGTGTTGGTGTTTGAGAGTTCATTCCTCATTCACTTCTCTTAGTCACTTAGCTGTTACCAAGCACATCACTGGAGGATTTTCTGAGGGTGAAAGATCATCATTGTTAAAGTCTCCCCCTTGATCAGGCAGCATAGGAGAATCTGACAGATTTGGGAGTGAAGAAAATAGATCACTGAAGGGATTGATAAGAGTTTTTGTATTTCCTGGGAACACCTGCTCATCAAAAATGACATGGCTTGATATGATGAACTTCTTGGTTACAGGATTCCAGCACTTCCATGCTTTTGTGCCTGATGGATATCTGATGAATATGCATTTAGTAGTGCATGGCTGAAGACCTTGTCGCTTGTTCTTTTTAACATGAACATAAGCTAAGCAGCCAAAGACATGCAAGTTAGAGACATCAGGTTTCTTCTTATGCCAGCCAGTATATGGTGTTGTTTTAGAAAGTGGTGCCATAGGGCAACAGTTGCACATATATGCAAATGCAAGCACTGCTAGTCCCCAGAAGGAGGGAGAAAGATGAGCTTCATAGAGCATAGTAATAGCCCCTTCAGCAATATTGCGATTTGCATGTTCTGCAATTCCATTTTGATGAGGCTCATCAGGCTCAGTATGGCACCTTGATATCCCTTCTTCTATGCATAACTGATCAAATTCATGACCCATATACTCTCCTCCACCATTGTCTTGCTCCTCTAAGATCTTCAGACCATGAAAGTTTTCAGCATAGGCTTTGTAGCATTTAAATTCAGCCAGAGCATCACTCTTGTGCTTTAGCAAGGCAACAGCCCAAAAACGCAGAGCACCACATATAAAAGTGATCCAGTAGCAATAACTTTCTGGCATAGCAACTGATATCGGTCCTTTAAGATCAGAGAATACAATTGCGAGAGGGCATGTTGAAAGAGATGAGGGCCCTTGAGGAATATTATGTCACCTGTGCTTGCCCATAAGACAGGGTTCACAAATTGGGTCAGGATTAGATTGTGTATTGTTCATCTTCATATTCAAGATAAGTTGATTCTCATACATGTTCTGGACAATGTTTATACTTCTGTGACAGGTTCGTCGATGCCATAGAGTCAGATCAAATGGACAGGTGCTCACAGTATTGGAGGTTACCAGCCTTGTAGTGTGAGTGGTGCCATTAAGATATCTGATGTTATTATCATTAACAGTGGCTGAGAAATGAAGCGCTTTGTCTTGAAAGAACTGAACAGATGACCCAGCTATGTTAATCTCATATCCTTTATGACATGTAAGATGGAAGGGTGAAAGCAAGTTATTGTGAAGATCAGATACATGCAGTACATCCTGGAACTCAACAGCCTCGCAGACCTCTCCATTCTTCTCTTTAGGCTCAAACACGACTGTCCCCATGCCTGCTGAATAGATGATTGAATTGTCTGCTAACTGAATTGGAACCACATGTGGTGTCCAGACATGAAACCAGTCTTGATGATGGCTCATGTGAGATGAAGCGCCTGTGTCCGTATTCCAGTTAGATGATGCTGGGGACAAGAGATTGATACTTGCTTGGCTGGCAGTCTCTTCTACAATGTTTGACTTCTCTGTCTTTGCCTCTCCCACCTTCTTGCCTGATTTTGCATTCTGACGTTCCTGGACACACTGTATAGCTCACTCCTTGGCTTTCTTTTTGCCAAAACACTCCTCCTCGGTATGTCCAGAGTTGGTGCACCAGCTGCAGGTGGTATCAGATGATGCCATATGAGTGGCTTGGACTCTGACAGTGCTCGCTTTGAATGATGTTGCTGAAGTGGTGTCATGAGAGCGGCACTGCATCTCTTCAGTGTGGAAGGCAGCAATGAGTTTGTCAAGACTGAGAGAATGGAGAAGAAGGACTGATGACACAAAATTGTCATAATCGGATGAGAGGGCACAGATGAGAGTCATGGATTGAAGCTCTTCATCGAGTTGATCAATGGTGAACCTTTCAGGGTGGAGTGCTTTGATGTCTTGTATAGCTTGTGAGACATGTCCAATGAGAGTAGAGAGAGACTCTCCATCATCCTTCTGAATGCTGAATAAGGCATCATAGGCATTGAAACGGGTGCCCGGTTTTTGCTGTTGGTGAATGTCTTTCAGTTTCGACCACATAGCTGTGGGCTTACCCATGAGGAGACTGATGTGAGCATGCTGTGATTTGTCAATGCAAAGCCAGAGGTATCCTGCTGCAGATGAACGAGCTTGAAGGTAAGCTTTCATCTCCCTTTTTTCAAGCTTTGTGGGTTTGCTGGGGTCAACTTGCTCTGGTGGCTCCTCGGTACCATCGAAGTGGCCAAATAGCCCCTTGATGCACATATAGGCCTTGAATGAAGGTGCAAAGTGGTTCCAGTTGCCAGCATGGAGGTTGGGAAAACCGTGTTTGGTGGTGTCAACGACGTCTGAGTCATTCATCGTGGTGTGAGAGAAAAAAGAGACCGTTGGGGTTAGAGAGTGTGTGGATGTGACTTCCGAATGGATAGTGATATCCTTTAGGAAAGTGAGCGAGACTTTGACGTCTAGTGAATAGTTCGCAAGAGGGAATGAAAAGTTTGCTTGGCTTAGTAAGGCACGGGGCCCATAACCTGTTGAGAGCAGGTTGCATAGCGCAGTGGGGAATGCCAGATCTGGAGTCAAAAGTCAAAAGCTAGTAGACGTTGACTTTCGATCTCCAGTATTGGTAGCTACGATTATGTAAGGTAAGAGCGACATGGAGGGTGTGCTACTTCAACACTTGCTTCTTTTTGTACTGAGGCAGGGCACTGCAGATGCTCTTCTTTATCGACCATATTTCGTTCCCTAGTGCAACGGATTCGCCTCCAAATCTCTGGATTGTAAAGGTAGTCGTAGCTGAGACATATCCTTTTGTATGTCCTCGTCACAATCATAGCATGGTGCAACACTGAATCGTGTTTTCAGATGTCGCAAATCCTGCGAGTATGTACTCATCCAACGACAGATGATAGCTACACTGTGCCAGTTATATGCTTGTAAGATCAATATGAACCCGTGCTTCTGCTCTCCAAGCTCGTCAATCCATAGCTGCAATGAGCACCGAATCCCATTTCGTAATGCAGAAGAGAGGAGCTGACGGATAAATTGACGAGATAAAGGTGTGTTTTGGGTTCCTTGTTGCGTTGCCTTCCTAACGTTGTCCAGACCCTCTTTTCTTCAAATTTGCTCTTCTTTGCATTTTTCTTGGACCTGCCGATGGTGATTCGATGTTCTCAGTATCTTGTATGCGTATAACCTAATACATTTTGTTGCAGGTTTCGTCTCTTGATACAGGGAAGGGTCTGATAGCCGAATATATGTGCACGACGCTCCCTTAGCTTCGACGTCCATGGCTCTGGTAGTGACATCGTCGGAAGTGATGAACGTGTTAAGGAGTGGAGACGTCTCGAGCTGCATCTGTGGAGAGAGATTGTACCTCTGGGATCCTGACAGTCTCTCCACTCTCGTCTATCCACATCTGTAACCACTCATTCTCGCTTGACTCGTTTATTACCATGCGCTTCTCTCTCGCCGTGCTCATTTCTCTCGCCACTCTCATAGTTCCCGGCCTCTCCAGCACCGCCAGCCGGAAGCAGAAACTGCTGTCCAAGCAAGGGCATACTACGGTTCTTGCGCTCCTTGGAAACCGTCGTGGACCTTGCCAGGAACGGGCAAGCACTGTCCATTAAATGTCCCAGAACATTGTTCTTGCTTCGACGACGTACGTTCTCTCTCCTTCTCTCCTTCCGATCCTGACCAGCTTTGAACGGCCCATCCGCGAAGTGCAAGGACCTTTGCTTTGCTCACGAGAAATGCAACTCTCGCCAAGGTATACATCTGAAGCTCATTCTCTTCAGCCGTTCATTGACAAAAGAGTTTTTTTTCTAGTCTATACCTTCGGGGAGGCTGCGGAAGAGTTTATCTGTGCCCTCTTCGAGGACATCGTCAACATTTCGACTTTAGAGGATGACTTTGAGGATGACTAGGTCGACGATTGGGTGGAACTTCTATGACCAGGCAACGTGAAGCTTGTGACTTCGGACATGCACAATTATTGGAGTCTTTTGTAGGACTTTTTCCATATGTACTCGATTATATATCTGTAACGACAAAAACGAGTTTTTACTTGGCTATTCTCACAAATGCCTTTTAGTCCTGACTGCAATATTGACGCAATGCCGTAAAACACTACCATCCACCTCTTCCCGTGAGCCACTATGACGAGAGTCTCTGCTATCAATTTCATCATTCTCAACGGCACTTTTATCAGACGACGATTAGTAGAATTGGTTCCCGCCTCTCTCTATTACTTGATGCATCTTCCTCCTTGGCACCCTCAAAGCATCCTTCAAAACATTCGTCACATTTTGATACCAGATATCATATCCTGAAACGATCCTACGGAACCGCATTTGATGAAGTACTGATACTTCTTCAATGTGCCAACATTGACTTACCTCCCAGTCGTAGTCCCATCTTCATTTGAAAGAGTGCCTGTAAAGCTAACATACGAAGATCAACGACTGCCAAGACATTCCCAAGGTCTTCGAACGCTATCTGTAAGGGATTTGAGTTATAATATGTATCAATGTTTACTTGTACCTTTAGCTACACCCATTGCGCCTCCATATTGATCGGACTATCTCTTAACAACTGACCACTATCATCTTGGATGGCTCAATGTTCAGCCTCGGAGAACTCTGTTGCTATGCGGCAATACTCTATTCGACCCGAATCTCGACATACTTTCGAGGTTCTCCAGCAGTTGCCCCACTACACGCCCTCGACTGAGTGTGCGTCGTTACCACCAGTGACTGCTACCATGCTCGCATCCACCTCTGGGGATGCGAATCCTTTGTCTACGGCTGCTGCGCCACTGCTCCTTGTGCACTCCAATATGCTGTATCGCCCATCAGGCGTCATCACGCTGCCTGAAGGTACTCCGGCATCGGACACCTGCACCCAGCGACGTTCTCGGACCCTCCTTCACCCCCACGCTCGATCGCCCCACCTGTGGCTAGATCGTGTCGTTCTTCTCATTCTTCTTCGATACACCATGCTCCAGACAACGTCTTAGAGCAAGAACTTGCTTGTCGATGGCAATTAAGATCTATGGGTGTCAACGACCAATCTCGTGGCTCGGCTCCCCCTGCTTATGCCCACGAAATGACTGTTTCCATGCATCTACCACTGGTATCTCCCTGCTGACCTGCGAGCAAACAGCTTCCAGTAGCACCGGCCAGTATACAAGTACCAAGCCTAGTGATTTTACCACGGAGAGTGATACCGACGATCTACGTGCCTTGGGTGAAGACGATTTCGAATCTGTGTATCACGGAATGAACAGTAGTAGATGATAATTCCTTCTTTGTTACAGTATCAAACATTAGTCAGTAGAGATAATATCCTACTTGCTGATGAGGAGTCCTAATCCCTCCAGGGTAAGTCTGCGTACCCCCAATCCAGCCATGCACCCACCCCCCGGTGTTCGCATATCGCTTCAAGCTCTCTCCGTGTCTCCGCATCCCAAGCAGCATCATCTCCCAAACAACGCGAATAAGGATAAAGATCCGGAGGATCGTATTCGTCCTTGACGGTAGTGAGCTCCGACACGCTAAGCTTCCTCAACTTTGGCCAATGCGTGTCAATAAGTCCCACTAACACAGCCGGAAGATCGTGGCACTCCAGTATCTCCAGTGTTTCGAGCGGAGAGCTAAGAAAGGGTGCCAGGAGTCCTTGGAGCTCCTTACCAGCATTAAAGCCAAATTCGATATCGAGAAGAGTGAGCGAGGTCAATGCAGGGAACGCCACTTTGCGAGGAATAATGAGGGATATCGTCCCAATGTTGAGACTCGTCAGGATAGAGGAAGATTGTTGGAGCAGCCCGACGATACACCGGTTCCATGGGCATGCATGATCCTCATGCGTGTCCGTGTCGGACATGCGCATCTGCCCAGTAAATCCGATCTTGATGTGTTTGAATTTGCGACCGGCAAACACTCGTCTGAACAACGTTCTGCGAGGACACCACTGCACGGGAAGATCGATGCTTTCAAGGCGAGGCATTCCCCGCAAGAAGTGCCGACTGTTGACGATGTACGGGTCGCCTGTCCCGTTCAGGTCGAGCGACAGGGTGCGTAGAGAAGGGAATTTGGTAGCCGCTAGACCTGCTGTGGCATCTTCCAAACAGAACCCACTCAAAGAAAGTGAGCGAAGTGGTTGAGGAAGGGATTGGAACACCGAATTAAGAGTATTGACCACTTCTGGAGACAAATGCACTACATCTGCGGGTGCCCGTTCAACGACCGATATGGCGGTGGGGTAACTGTCCTCTAGGTCTCTTGGCGTTGGACGGATGTCGAGGCGGAGAGACTGGAGAACCTCAAGTTTCGGCAGCGAAAGAAGGAGCAAGTCAAGCATGCTAAGGAGATCGTAACCGGGTACACAGAGGATTGGGTGAAGCACCAGGTCGAGGTGCACGACGTATTGGACGTCCCGGAAGCGAAGTACGTCGAGGAACGGTCTCACGTTACGTATATCATGATAACGGATGGTGCGGTAAAGGTGACGAAGGAAAATATCGCGGAAACGTTTGGAAACGGAGCAGAGGGTGACGATCCCAATTTTTGTGTTGTCGTAATGACGCTCCTCCCGTACTTCCGGTGAGAGTGCTTCCTCGAGGAGTTCATTAGGAAGAGCTAGTATGTATGCATTCACTGTACAAGAATCGTCAGCAAAGTAAGCCAATGTAGCGACAACATCAGACACCGACCTGGCTGAGGAGCAGTCATGTTTGATGAAGGTGACTATCTGAACTGACAACAGAATCCAGTTCTTATAAGCATCGTCATAACAAATACGGAACACAAAGGGAACGAGTTACATTGTATTGAGCGGAACACTGTACTGCCCCCTCCCAGGTGCTCAATTACTCGACCGTAGCAACTCATGTTCCAAAGTTGATACTTGGATGTTGTGCGAAGCGGAACCAGCACTAAGCCACGTCTCCAATAACATCTTATATAAGGCGTAGCCTGGGAAGTATCGTCGTGGACGGCGACATGCGCTTGAGATGGCCGCAACGCCACTGAACGAGGAATGTTTTGCCGGTTGCCGCACCTTTGTTCCCATTAAAGAGGCCTACAAACATCTCAGACTGTCGTCCAAAAACAAGACCTTTGTAATCGCACCTACCTGCTGCCGCATATACTTGTTCTACATTTCAATTCAAGGTAGACCTTGTAGTCAGCCCAACGTCGCTAGCCTGAGTTGCGGAATCGTTGTGTATTTCACCTCGAAGACTCGTAGTCTAGATTAATGAACCCTGTTCGGTGCTGAAGACAAAAAAAGAGGGAAGCCTGTGCCTCGATAACGAGCCGATTTGGTGTTCTTCGGCCTAAATATCGAGGTCAGGATTGGGAGAACGTAATAAAGCAGGGGGAACGCACCTAGTTCTGTTCTCCCTCTGCATGATCCATGGTACGGGAAGCCCATGCTAGCCAGAAAAAGAGGAGGATGGCGAACAGAAGCACGTCTCCGTGTCGATTTTACTAGTCCAACGACGATCCCGCTCCATGTCCAGCATCACCCGTCCAGTATCGCCCTTCATTCTGCGAGCGACTCGACACACACGTAGGCGGTTCTGTTGAGCCACAGTAAACAAAATCGCAGGAGAAAGTCTGTAAAATGTTTTCGCTCAGTAGGAGAAGGCGACAGAAAAGCTAAGATAGCATGCCTTTTCCTTCTTCAAAACTAGAATACTATCTTGCGCCCGTCAGAGGTATGGAGATAGGCAGGAAGAAAGTGTTACGAGTCGTTCCACGGCCCGATACTTTTACCTGACGTTTTTCCCTGTTTCCCCCGTCTCCCCGGTTTAGCCCGTATTTGTTATTCCCGCCATATATATATAAGCCAGTACACGTATTGTAGCTAGGGGTTTTCGCAATCGACCAAGCCTATAAGCCTGTCAGCAACTGCGCGAGCCTTTCGTGAGAGAAGTGACTTTTGCCATCCTCTCATATTTTTGACAGCTCCATTGGCTTAATCTTTGCTTTTATCTTTTACTCTCTCATCTGCACTTTTCTCTCTAAACTCTCTATATCTCTCTTCATCAATATCTGGACCCCCTATGGCTTGATCACCTGAGGACATTCTGACTTTGACACCAATATCTAATTTTTCTCTTTACTTCTTGGTTCCTTAGGATGTTGCATTACCCTTTGTGCAGCCATCGCAACACCACTGTTGTGCCAGCTACACCAGGGATGGACAGTCCTTTATCTCAGTTATCAGGTGAGTTGTCACCAACAGACTTTGATACTAAAAATGTGGCAGATTCTAGCACTACGAGTACTCAGGGTGCTACCCCTGTTCTGGCTGTGAGCCATGTTCCAGCATCTGGTGCTACAGTGCTGAGAAACCTTCCTCTTGCCCATGCACAAGCAGAGGAAGAGGATTCAAATCACTCAGAGAAATCAGAGGATGTTGGTTTCAAGGAAAATCTGATCACAGAAGTTTCAGATAATGATTCATCCTGTAGTGATGTAGATAATGGAAATGATTATGAATCATCTACATCCTCTATCTTCGAGAAAGCATCTCATATTACAGATGCAGAAGAATCCAATAGAACGGCAAGACCTGCAAGGCTTCGCCATACTCAGAGTCTTGATGACCTGGGGAAACATGAAGTTCATTTTGGAGGACTACACAAAGGAAGAAAGCTCATGAAGGAACAGCTTTCTACCATTGATGCAGCTGAACAGAATTTGACAACTGCACAGCAGGAAATGCTTGCCAAACGTCAGAACAAGCTGATGGAAGACAAGGGCCGAGAGCAACCTACTGCATCTCAGACTCCAATGGCTACATCTGGACCCAGCTCTTACATTGCTAAAGAAAAATTTGTTGACCACAATCAGGAGATTGATAACACTGAATTAGATGTTGAGGCACAATGTGAGGCTCTCAAAACATAGAATCAGACTCAAGACATCAATCAAAAAGTCTCTGAAGGTGATGTGTCCCATTCAGAGGCTCATCCAGAGGTTGAAGATGGTTTTATGACTGTCAGAAAGTCTTCTAAGCATAACAAACAAAAAGGACCTCAGGGATTAAAACCAAAGACAAAGGTTCACAAAACAGACTGCTATGATGCTCTTGAAGTAGAAGAAACATCAGATGAAGATTCTGAGTCAGATTTGGAGGCAGAGCCTCAACCGAAAAAGGCACCCTCTAAGACAAGTGCAAAATCTTCAAAACGAAAGACTGTCAGATCATTGACTGATCATAGGATGAGGAACATCATATAAGAACACTCAAAGGCACTTTCAAATAGCTGACATAGGTCTACTCACCCTGTGGATCAGCTACCACCTGATAGCTTCTTGGCTGATGTGTTAGATGTTGGCAAATCAAAGAAGAAGCGGAAGGTCTCACCTGAGCGCAAGAAGAAACTCAATAAGAAAAAGCTTGAGAAACAGAAGCATAAGCACCATGCTAGTTCCTCCAGCTCTGAATCATCAGAGTCTACTCCCAGTAATAAGTCTGACTCAGATTCAGACTCTAATTATTCAGAATCTTCTCCATCAGATGATAGTTCCTCAAGCACTGGTTTGAGCTCATCGAGCTCAAGTAGCAGTGATGCAAGCAATGAGTTGGATGCATCAGATAGCTTTGAGCCATCCAATTATAGACATCAACACCATCATCATTATACTAGAAGGCATGGTTCCCATTGGCATAAGCATAGAAGTTGAAAACATCACTGCAAAAGATTGATTTAACCAATACCTCCTACACCATATGATGGTACAGCTGATGGTGAAAAATTCCATTGCTTCACAATGGAATTGACTCAATTCTGCAAAGAAGGTCAGGTTCCAAAGGATGAATGGGTATTTCTGGCATCACATTACCTGAAAGGAAAGGCACTATCTTTCTTCATTCAGAAGGTTTTGAAAAACCATGCAGAATGGACATTGATAGACTTCTTGTGAGGAATCTTTAATTCATGCTTCTTTTTAAATTACTGAAGTCAGCAACAGAATAAAATAAAGAAGTGCTACCAGAATGATCACACTGTTTCAGAATACATTTACAAGCTGAAAATCTTGTATGGCCTTATTGGCATAACTAGCAAGTGTGAGCATATTATCAAGCTTTGGAATGGATTCTGTAGGGAGATGCAGCATGAACTCCATTGAGCAAAGCTCAATAAGGAGGTTCATAGCTGGCACCATATTGTCAAAGAGGCTGAACTCATTGAAATGGCTGACCTTGAATTTACACCTCGAAGTACCAAGGAAAAGAAGCCATCACAGGAAGATTCTGGAAATAGCAATAACCACAGAAATAGTGGGCATACATCTAAGAAATATAAGTCTAGTAACAGTCATTCAAAAGGATATTCTCATGAAAAGAATGGATCCCACAAGGGAGGATCTAACTTGTATAGTCAGTCATCAAGCTACAATCAACTCTTGTCATCTTCCAGAGGTAATAAGCCATTGAACAGAGGGTGCAATAGTGGAAGCAAGTCTACCACAAATTCTAGCTCTGGAAATAAACTATCAGAAAGCAAGAAGGCAGAACCTGTCACTGCAAATAAGTGCTTTAGATGTGAAGAAGTGGGACATATAGCTAGAAATTGTCCTCACAATAACACAGTGAAGTCAAGTAACAAAACAGGGCCACCAGGCTTCTCAGCACATGGTATACATTACGACTTGACAGATGACCACCAGCTTCAAAATTTGGCAGAGACAACTGAAACAGTTGATCACATTTCAATCAGAATGATGTTCATGTCTGCCAAACAAGACAGTCAGTCTCAGAATGACAATCTATTTGATGAAGACATTCCAAACCTTGAACCTGTTTCAGAAACTGATGATTCTGAAAGCCCAGACTATGAAACTGATGGGAAGTGGACTTTATGAGTGCTTACTGAGCTCTACATATCACCTATTGAATATGAAAATGATATCACATCTTCAGATTCTAGCTCTGATAATTCTGTCGAACCAGAATTAGATGATCTAGAGATATTTATCCATGATTTCAGAAGTATTGAATGTAATGAAGCCTTACTGATGCCTGGGATTGAGAACTTTGCTCATCTATGGTCTGAAGAAGATGCCTGTGCAAGAGATCATAATAATGAACCTATATATTGCTGGGCTGATAATGCTAAGGATGTCTATAGGTATTCTGAGACAGACTATACCAACTTCATACTGCAGCAGGAGGTGGATTCAAAGTGGCAACCTAATACAATTGGTGATCTACATTAATATGTTGCTGAAATGTGCTTGAACCATGATGCACCTTACCCTGGTGATGAGTTATGCTGGGGTGCAGTAAGCTCCTATCATTTTGGAGTATTCTGCCTGAATCAGGAGACTTTCACCATTGCAGATACTGAGTCAGAACATGGAGAACTCACCATATCTGCTTCACTGTTACAAAATCCAAAGTTTTGTATTAGCACATAGTATGCAAAACAGCATGCTAGGTTGTTGGCATTACTATATAACTCTACAGAGTGGTACCACAATTCATCTGAAATTAGAGATGCAATAGTGCAAGGTATGCATTTTATTCTGAGTCATGGCATTAGTATATATCCAGATCTGAAGGAATTAGGCTATGAAAGCCCAATCTCACTGTATGATAGATTCCAGGTTTCTTGTAAGACATCAGACAGAAACCAGATTATGATTACTGATCAGGTGAACCTTGCTGTCCTTCATATTGATGCTATATGGCTTGAAAACCCATATTTTGATGCAATCAGATAGCTTGCAAAGAACCTGAATGTATTTGTAGCAAGGCAATATGAGTCCTTACTACTAGATGAGCTTTGCTTTGAGAAGCTTAAGCAGAAAGAAGCTATTAAAGTTTGTTCAGAGCAGTGGTGCATGCAATGAATGGGAAATGTACTTGCTGAAGCTTTTGAAACTAAGCTACATGAGAACCAACCTTATCTAGGGGATCCCCAGGAACCCCATGGACACCTTTGGTTCACACTATGGGACTCTAAAGCAGACCATCAGTTTAAATGGATTGACCATGATCACGGTCTAGGAGGAGAAGTTCCTTATAAATGGGTACTGGATTCACAGTTCAGTTTCAGAGAATTCTGGAGATGACAATTAGCCATGTTTGACAATGTACTGATATTCCAAGATATAAATTACTCTCAGATGGGCCACTCACTTGCCACCACAGTTCAAAAGTCCTTAACAAGGCATGTACCATTTATTTCAGATCAGCAAGACCTGGAAGATGAAGTTCAGTATATTGTGTACCCAAATCCAAAGTGACCGACACAGAAATACATCATTGATGATGTATACTGAGAGTTTAAGACCTCAGTAACAAACAAGAACTTGATGAGTCTGAACTTTGATCTTCCAAACTGGTATAGAAAGAAGCTAAATCAAGCCTATAAAGATCTTCTTCAGCATCTTCGAGATTCTGTTGAGTATGAATTCTTACCTTGTCTATTTTCACAGTCAGTAGAGATGAATGAATTTGAGCAGGAACTTGACATGACAGTTGCTAGAGCTGATAGTTACTTGCATCTAATGCATGGAAACTTACAGTGGGAAGAACAAAATGGCTACACTCATATTATGAGCATAGCAAGCATTCAGATTGAACCTAAGACATACCCAGCTATTCAGCAACATGCAGCAGTGGTCAAGGATATTGGCCAAATAGTATCTTGTCCTTTGGTTATCATTGTTGAGGTTAATGATAAACTATGTCAAACATTGATCGACACTGGCTCACTGGGGGACTTTATGTCCACTCAGCTTGCAGACCAGCTGAAAGTGTTCAAAACATACCTGCCAACTCCAATTCTCTTGCATCTTGCAGTACAAGGTTTATGTTCTAAGATTCTATGTGGAACTAAGGTTCAGTTTAAATATCAAGGTATTAAAGTGGAACATTACTTTGATATAGCAAACCTCTCAGGGTATGATTTAGTACTAGACCCACCATGGTTGTACCAGCACAATGTATGTGTTAGCTTTAATCCTTTTTCCATTGAAATAGGAAGCAGCATGGCATTGCCTATGGAAGGTGATAATGTGAGCCAACTTTGGTCTTAGGCAATGATGGTGAGTGACAATGTACTTGACCAAGTTCATGCAGAGCTTAGAGAGTATGCAGCTCCCATCTGTAAGACAGCCTTGGAGACTCCATTGCCACCACTCAGAGTGATCAACCACACTATCCCATTAATCAATAAGCAAAAGATCTACCCATAGAGGCCTTTGTGATGCCCAGAAGCCTTTCACTCACAGTGGGATCAGAAACAACAGAATTACCTAGCTTCAGGTAGATGGAAACTCACTACTACTGGGAATTCTGTATCAATGTTACTGATTCTGAAAGTAGAAAAATTGAAGCACTTACTTTAGACAGTCATTGACTTGCATGCATGTAATGCTAACACTTGCAAGGTCTCTGCACCTCTTCCAAATATTGAAGGCATCTTGCATTGTATTGCCAAATATAAGTATCAGAGTATAATTGATGGAAAAGATGCTTACAAGCAAATCTATATAGTGCCCAAACATATGGATAGAACAACTGTTACTACTCCTGATGGAAATATGGTCAGTCTGATTTTACAACAGGGTGATTGTAACACACCTGCTATATATCAGACACTGATGAATCATATTTTCTCCCCATATCTAGGTGTATTTATGGAAGTTTACCTTGATGATATCATCATATATTTGAACTCTCTTGAAGACTATGTAAAGCATGTAAAATGCATTCTTGATATGTTGAAATGAGAACAGTTATATCTGAGTAGTTCAAAGTTGAATTTCTTACTGAAAGAAATGAAAGTTCTAGGACAGATTATTGATAATGATATTCATATGGACCCCAATAAGGTGGACTCTGTAACTAATTGGAAGACTCCTACATCAAAGGGTCTTCTATCAGGGTTTTTGGGAAGTGTAGGATATCTAGCTGATGACTTACTCTGTATCTGTGGTCCTATGGGTATTCTCCACTCTCTCACAGGTTCTACAGTCCCATTCTGTTGGTCCTATACAGAGCAGTGGGCCTTTGATGAGATCAAAGAGATTGTTGAGCATCACTAAAACCATAGCTGAGTACCAATAGATTACTCACCTAACCATAAACTGGTCTGGATAGTTACTGATGCCAGCTCAGCAAGTATAGCTGGATATATAGCATAAAGAAGTGAGTGGCAGACTAGTAAAATTGCAGCATTCTACTCTGCTAAGTTGAGTTCAGCACAGCAGAACTATGCTGTGCATGAATTAGAGATGCTGGCTGGCCTGGAAATGATATTGAGACATCGGGATATATTGCAGGGGGTATACTTCACATGGATAATGAACCACAAAGGGTTAATTCATCTGATGAACCAGAAGGATCTAACTGGATGACAAGCATGTTGGTTAAAAAAGATAAGTGCATTTAACTTCAACATAGTATATGCACTAGGTGAGACTAATATCCTCTCGGATGCCCTCTCCCAAATCTACACCAATGATAGTCCTAGAATGGTACATGCTCATTCTGAGTACACTGTTCATGATGATAATGTGGATATGAATCATTTGAATACACATAAAATTACCATACCTTTGTTAACTGTCCTTGAGGCTTATGCTGCTCATACTACTCATTTCTGTGCACTACCAAGACACTCCAATGCAGATACAGGCCATCCTGAGACTTCATCTGAGTTTGCAAAGCAGATAAAGGATCATGTATGCTTCATCGGCCCTAGAACCACACAGGAGGGCAGGAGTATCAAAGAATTGACTTCACCATTGCCAAGTATAAGCCCTAATAGGACTAAACAAGCTATGGAACCTAAAATATCATTAGAAAGCAGTATAAAAGGTGTGAAACAGCACTAAAAGCTTACTATTAAGATCTCTCCAAAATCAAGATCTAGCTCCAAGGATATGAGCTATAAGTCAGTCAGACAACC